GTGAAAGAGTGAAGATGGTATTCTTTGGTCTTTTAGCCTCACATTGTCTTGACCTGTGACCCTTGACCCCGTGACCCCATGACCCTTAGGTGCGCACCCCCCTTTGAAAAATCCTGGATCCGCCCCTGGGCACCATGAAGGAAGAGATGTGGAAGCACTCAGCTTCACTGACAAAGATGTACGTTGTTTGAGAGGGGCAGTAACACACTGGTGGAACATTTTGGAATTAGGCAACTTTTACGTGCCAGAGGGGTGCCTGGTGATGCTATTTCATTAATGGAAGAGCAGAAGGTGATTAAAACAAGAGAGCTAGTCTCTAAAACAGACATGGTTAAGGTTTGATGCTAACACGTTTGTAAACTGTTTGAATTCAGTCAGAATTGTGAGATTAAAGTTAGAATTCTGAGAAAAAAAAGTCAGAATTGTGACTTTTTTTCTCATAATATACTGAAATAAAATAAAAAATAAAAAATCTGTTAACTTTTTAAATTTTTTCAGTGGCCCTGAGATTCTGAGATTTCCGTACTCCTCCCACACCTCTCATCTGACTTCAAGGAAGGAACCCAGAGTTTTTGTTTTGGTCACGTGACTCTGGGTCAATAACTCGCGGGAACCAACATGGCGGACCGAACAGTTTCGGAATCCGTTCAATGTCCTATTTGCTTGAAAGGCTTTACATGTGAGACAATAAATGAGCATCTGGACGCATGTTTGTTGAGCAGCGCTGCTGGCAGCAGGCTGTCTGAGGAGGGCGGCCCTCCTCTGAAGAAACCGCGCATTTCGGATCCTGTTTCCTCCTCTCCCTCCACCATGGCTGGGACTAACTCCTCCTCGATGTTCGCTCTTTTTAAGACCAATAAGGGGAAACCTGACGTTCAGGCCGACAGAAGTCCCGTGTCTACTGCTGTCAATAAGGGGACTAAACGCGCACTGACGGAGCCTCGGTCGGGAATCGCGGCTACAGAGGGTCCATCTGTTTTAAACGGTGACACAGAGAAGATCATTAACCTGTCCTCATTAAACAAACCTTTGGCGGAAGTTCTGAGACCGAAAACACTGGAGGATTACTTTGGCCAGAACAAAGTGGTCGGCCAGAACACGCTCATCAGATCGCTTTTGGACTCTCAGGAGATCCCTTCTCTGATTCTCTGGGGGCCTCCAGGATGTGGAAAGGTGTGCAGATGATGAGAGGATGCATGTACTAAACTAGTCATCATTTAATCCTGACTTTTCATTAATTAAACCACTGCCTTAGAAGAAGATGGGAAAAGCTGCCATCACCTTTATCTCTATTAATTAGCTATTTGATCACCTAATATGCAGGGGCGGAACTAGATGGGGGGGCATGGCCACCCTTAGCCAATCATTGGCCACCCCTACCATTTATTTCCCTCTAATACAGATGGTAGCAAAACATTTTAATTTTGATATATTAACAGAAACACTGGTTAGTTATGCACATTAATATACTAACATTAAAGATTATAAATACAGAATTCATGCTCTTTTCAGAAATAGATTTTGTGTTTTATGTGTTTCTGCAGGTTTAATAAAAACATATTAAATGATCAATATATGTAGATATTAGTACTTGTAAATATCAATTTTATGCAGAATAATTACTAATAAGTGTAAGTAATGACAATGGTAAAATGTGCACCTCTGCTGATATGTTGTCAATCAATTCAGCTTGTAAATTCATTGCATGATCAATATATTGGTCTGCTTTCAAGTAGCCTTGCATAAGGCTACTTGAAAGCAATTCATAGAATATTTCTAACCATTAATTGCCACATGCCCAGGCTCTGCATATAAACACTTCAGCAAGCTACAAAACCTGCAGCCATGCCCTCTTTGGATAATAATTATAGCACTAGATGTGATAAAGCTGGTAAAGATTTGGGCAAACAATAATGACAGGAAAGAAAGAGGAGGCAATGTGGATTATTATTCAAAACACGATAGGATATTTTCCTCATAGTTGTCCAGATCTAATCGCATACAACAAATTGCAACTGACTTTCTTTGGAATCGTTAAGCAGGTGAATTTAAAAATGTTGATAATGGAATAAAATTTCCAATGAGTCCATATATTATGTGCTTGATTTAATCTACACTTTAATGTTTTAGTACCGTAGCTTAAGGCAGAAAGGCTGTGCTGCAATTTAGATGTTTTTGCTATGTCTTACATCACCATCTCTGCATCTGCATAAAATATTTTCAGCAGTCTAGTTAATACGATGAGCTATGGCAGAAACTTACATTTTGATTTTAATATTCAGAAAAATAGGTTGGTAAATCCAAATCAAATCTTTTATTATGAAATAAGTGTCTCTGCCATTTCACTAAGACACTTTATCAAATATTTTTTGCCTCAATGGTTAAAAACTTGAAATCAAACCATGGTAATTTCCAATTAGATTGTTATTAATTGACATGTTTAAATGTAATTAAATGTTTAGAACTAAATTAAATTCCCACTACCTGACAGTATCGGAATGTTTTAAATTTTCCACAGCTTTACTCTTGTGCTCTGTCCTCATTTTCTTTCTTAATGACTGTTTTCTTCAGACAACCCTAGCCCACATCATTGCCAGCACAAGTAAAAAGAAAGGGACTGCCCGTTTTGTCACACTGTCCGCCACCAGTACATCCACCAACGAAGTGCGAGAGGTGATCAAGCAGGCGCAGAATGAGCTCAAACTGTGCAAGAGGAAGACGATCCTCTTCATTGATGAAATTCACCGCTTTAATAAATCACAGCAGGTAGTGTATTGGAGCAGAAAAGGCACTGCTTTATCAGAGATGTTTAGTTATTTGATTTTACTTATTTCATTTCAGCATACACATAGAATTATTCCATTTACATTATGTAAGGCTTTTTTTTTTTGCCCTTTTCTTAAAAAATAAAAACCCAAAGGCTATGTGTTAGTCACATAATTGCATGAGAGAAAATGTCAGAAATGGTTAATCCACAGAAGATAATTCCTTGAAGAAAAAATTGAATAATAATTTTCTTGTGTTTTTTTTTTATTGTGCTATTTTTCACTTTAAAAACAGCATAATTTCTTATTTTTAGTTTTTGATTTCTTTTTGTTTTAAAGCCTCTTTTAGAAGAAAAAAAACAAAAAGCCATATTACATTAACTTTTTTTTGTTGTTGTCGTTTTTCAGTTTTTATTTGTTTACTATAGGAAATATAACTTTTTTTTTATTTGTTCTTATTAGTATTTGATATTTTTCTTTATGTAATTTTTAATGTTTTTTCTAGGACTGTAGATTTCTTCATTGAAGTTTATGTAATATGTAATTTCCCTGGAAATTACATATGGATGTTAGGAGAGGACTGGCAAATAATGGAGTTACTGATAGAGCTCCATAAATGTCAGGATGCTGACTGGTAAATGTTTTGCCGACGCTCAGGTTCAGAATGCCCTGCATTGCAGTATTCATCCAACAGTTTTTAAAGTGGTTGGTAAACTTTCAAAAGTACATAGATGCATCATAATTAACAATTTCTTTGTCTTTTTTAGTGGCAGCAGTCAGTCTTATTCAGCCTGCTTCTCATGTTTGAAGTGCTTTGCATCTTTATGTCTTCAGTTTCAAAACAAAGTTTGCTTGTTTGTTTCCATTATCTATTTATAGACTGTATGACTTAATTATTTAGTATTTCCCCAAGATCTAATTGTCTGCGCTTTGAGGGTTGTAGGTTTCTTGTTTCAAGTAGTTTTGACCCCATCACTAAATTCCTTCTTCGACAAATGACAGAAGACAGATGGTTCAACTGGGTTGGATTTTTAACAGGAATGTCGATGGCTGGAGTAGGAATTACTGGATGTTACATTCCCCTGACTGGTTTAGAGATCACAGGCAATCACATCAGTGTGGTTGAGAAACTGTTTTCTTTTCCAGATGGAGTAGCAAATGTCACAATACTCTTGGGGACACTATGCAACCCGACGGTTAAGAAGAGAAATAATACTGGCATTTTCCACAGCTTATGGTTGGGGAATGATGGGACAAACTTCCTGAATTTTAAGCAAAGCTTTCTGACATCTTTCACATGACAAAGCTGTGTAGACAACAAGTGTCAATACCATCTGGATCATTTAACCCGTACAAAATAGACTATGAAAAAGATATGGGACCCGAAGAGAATGACCTTTTCAAAACATTTTATTAGAACTTGGGAGATTTCTTCTGTGGGAAAATATGTGTATGAATGGTGCAAAGGCTGGCACATAATAGAGCTGCCCAACAACTTCTACAGGATACTGGGATATAAAGTTTCGGCATTCATCCAACCAAGTTGGAGAGCTTGTAAAAGTGTACAGTTGAATTAACGTTTCAATCTATTTTACGGTCCTCTCCTCTGGAGGAAATCATCTCTGCCATCTAGTATTTCATTTAAATTGCTTCCCAGTTCTTCCACTGTTGTGATTTCATCTTCAGGATCTTCAAAGATTCCCTGACTCTTAGTTTCCTCCTGAGCTGTAACTTCATTTAGGGCAAAATTGGGTAGACCATTTTATTTGTCTGATCCCCTCTTCCCTCGAAAAATAAAAATAAGTCACTTTACTTTGTAACATTTGATCTAATCAGGCTTGGATTTCTTCCTCTGTAGTGATTTCATGTTGAGGAGGACCTTCAAGGGTTTCCTGACTTTCAGTTATGTTTGTCTATGAAACATTTTTTCTAAAAACAATTTTCGAATTACTGCTGCATCTTCAACGCATGTTTTTCTTTTTCTGTTCAGAGCAGTTACTAAGCTGTGTGGCTGGGATACTATGCAGCAGTAGTAGCTCAAGAAAAACATGCATTTAACCTCTTAAAACCCATCGTTTTAAAGCGTTTACAAATAATAACTCAGAATGAATAAAAATTACACTGGCAAAATGTTTACCAATATAGAAATGTTAGACATTGTTGGACAGCTTAGATTCTCCACAATTTAACCACCTACTTCATTTTATGGACATAGTGAGCACCAAAGCACAATTAACACAGATATAGCAGCATGTCATAATGCACCATGACAAAGCAGCCACAACAAGCAAGCATGTCTTTATAACTGCTGTTCAAAAAAGACCTATTATTTTCGAGAATGAAACAAAAAAACAACTTTGTGTCTTGTTTTAACTGATGCAGCTTGGGCTTGATGCAGGTTGGGTGTTTTACTCACCCAATTTTAATGTATATATTGAGAAACTAGAAGGTTTTAGATCTCAAATGATGTATCAAACATGCAATTTGGGCTCACAGTTCCTAAGTTATTTGCTTTTCCATTTGGGTATGCAAAATAGGTGAGAATTTCCCAAATAGAGGTGGATATTAAGAGGTTAATCATGTAATTGTAAAGCTTTGTTTAATGTTTGCGGTTTTAAAAAGTTAAAGGAATAAAATTGCTCTCTGTTCAGTTGATGAAGACTAGTATTTTCACATCAGTGAAGTTGTTCTTTTTACCATTTTGTTTGCATCCCAAGGACACCTTCCTGCCCCATGTAGAGTGCGGTACGGTCACTCTGATTGGAGCGACCACTGAGAACCCATCCTTCCAGGTAAATGCTGCCTTGCTGAGCAGGTGCCGGGTGCTGGTACTGGAGAAGCTCTCAGTTGAGGCAATGGGCTCCATTTTGAACAGAGCTCTGGCTGCACTTGGGATCCAAGTCTGGGGACAAGGTTCAACAGATTCTTTTTCTAGAGAGCAGAGCAACAGCAATGAGTAAGTGCTCTATTACACTCACTTCTTCTGTGTAACATATGTTCATTTATGATAAAGACGAGTCATTAGTCTTTTTTTCTTGAATTTCTCCTTATTGAAATATATTTTAAATATCTATATTTGCATGAGGGCCAATCGTAGAACACATGCTTATAAAAAGTAAGCAAAACTTTGCTCATATACCCATTTTCTTTTTTATTTGCGTGTGATCCCGATTAATTTCTTTAATTTAGCAGTCATTCCTTTAAATCATGTAAATGCTTTATTTGGTGTTGTAGATGTGACTTGTGTGATGTTATCTTTGTGTCAATGACATGGAGAAAGGAAAAAAACGATCTGCTTCAGGAAACGGGCTTAAAAAGCCCTAAAAAATGTCAAAAATAATTGATATTGGCTTCTGCCTGTATTGTTCAATTGCAACTAAATTCCATATCTTATGTGGCATCAAGGTTAGTGAAAGCCCATCCAACTTGCCATATTGGCATGCAAATTCTACTAAACTATTTTAACCTGCTCTCTGTCACTGCAGTGTTGTGGGGAACAGCCTGGGCTTTCTCTGAACACGCTGTGGTGCAGGCGCTCGCAAAAAGTCGCTCACACTGATCTCTTGTTGTCTGTGTGCATGAATATCCCTATCCATCCTCCAATAGCTCCTTTATTTCCCTGTATTTCTTTTTTTTTTCTGACTATTTAAGTTAGCTGAAGGTGGTTTAATTTTATTCTAAAATTCACCGTACCGTTTTCTTGTCTGACCCCCGACTTTTCATATTTGACTTGTAAAATTTCGGAGCTTGATACAGAGACAGTTACGGCATCCGGCCAAATGTCTTTCCTGTGAAATCGCTTCCTTGATTGGCACGGTCTTGGTAACAACATCCGCACTGCACTGTGGCTGATGTGAGCACTTACATTGATTTATTTAATGATTTGGATTCCCTGCAACCTTCAAGCCACAGGTCCACAGCAGCCGCGTCGTAGTCATTGTGAGACCAACATTAGAAACATTTCTTTTCATCGCTATTAAGCCGATTCAGGACATGCAGATTATCAATAATCAGACTGCAACTGAACGCATCAGTTTTTCAACATTAGTCTGATTATAAGTCATTCAGAGATGACGAGTACTGTTCTGGTCTCATTTAAAGATCCGCTCCACATCAGATTTGTAAGACTCAGACTGCCTGTATTTATTAGCAATTAGCTTAGTGTTTTTTTTTGTTTTTTTTTTTAAGATATTAGCCTAATGGTTATAATTGAAACTGTTCCTGAAATTGCTTTTCTAGCAGCTGAAACATCTTTACACAAGTAATGTTTGGAGCTTTAAGCCTGAAAAAGTAAAAAATGTAAAATAAATGTCATTTTAACATGAGTTTTTTAATAATAATACATTCTATACATTGTAATACATTCCAGATCCAGAGATAATAATAACCTGATGTCTTATTCCATGTCTTCTGCATTCTTCCTTCAGACCAACTATATACATCGAACAGAAAGCTTTGGACACCATAGCTTACCTGTGTGACGGAGATGCAAGGACTGGACTCAACAGTCTGCAGCTGGCTGTTCAGGCTCAGATTAACTCACTGCGACCAAACCAGTCAACAAAGGAGGGATTTACTCAACAGATTGTGGTGACGGAGGAGCATATTAAGGAGGGTCTCCAGAGATCCCATATCCTCTATGATAAAGCCGGTGAGCTTCTACCTGCTTATTTTAGCAATGTTAACTGATAAAAACTCGGAAAAGCGTTTTCTGAATAAAGAGTTGTTAGGTTTTTCATTGTGGACCTAGAACAAAATCTATTTAAACTGTTATAAAATGCATTGTATAATATATTTTATGTTTTATGATTCAGAGATATTAAATATATCGAGCATATTTTGCTCTTTTATAGCTTTATCAAAATCTATTGAATCTATTTAATAGATGAAATCTATTTGATTTAGATAACAAATTAATGAAAGAAAATTGATAAAAACAATATAAGTTTTTTCTATAGGGCAGTTAAGTTAATTTAACTTCTATTCAAGACATCACATCAAATAAAAAAATAAAAGAAATGGAAGTTGGTCACAAAAAAAGGATTGACCTTCAACCTATGGTTAGTAATGCAGCTACCTTTATTCTGAAAGTTAACCTTAAGAGGGAAGTAAAGAATAGCAGGAGGTCCTTCAACCTAAAAGATGAATCATCTAAATAACCATGGAAACATTCCAAGAGGTTGCTGGAAACCAAAAAAAGCGTTGGTTGCTTTAACATCAGTAAAGATTTTACACAAGGGTATCTTTTTTTTTTTCAAATGCTATATTTAAATGCTTTTTATATAAACAGCTACAGGTAAAGTTAAGACATTTTAATTCATTTTTGGTATCTTTTAAGAGATCTTTCATTTCATATCAGAAAAAAAACTTTACCTGAAAAAGGTATTGTCATAAATCTAAATCTGCCAGTGCTATTAACTTTTAGACAATATTTTTTTTTTGTTTAATTTTCTTGTACCAAATACTAACATTTTAATTCACGGTTAGAAACACCTTAACAACTTTTTACAAATCTAATTATATCACAGTTACTGAGTCTTACTTTTTCTATTCAGTGCGATTGTTAGCTTCATAGCTGTGGCAGCTAACTAATGCAGAGATCACTTGTTCCCTTTATCCGCTTAGTTGTCATAACTTCTGTCGTACCATTTATTATTAGATTAGGTTTGAAAGATCCACAGAATGTAAATGCTCCCTCTCCAGTCATTCACATACTCGCTGTCATCAGACGTTTTGTCCTCTGTGTTGACCTTCTGGTGTTCAGCTGTCCAAAAAACTTGCTGCATCACAGGGTGAGGAAATTTGTGTTAACGTGTTAATATGTGGGTGCATTTCATACAAAGGTGAGGAGCATTACAACTGCATCTCTGCTTTGCATAAGTCCATGAGAGGCTCCCATGAGAACGCCTCCCTCTACTGGCTGGGCCGCATGCTGGAGGGTGGGGAGGATCCGCTCTATGTGGCCCGCAGGCTGGTCCGCTTCGCCAGTGAGGACGTAGGTAGGTCAAGCTATTTATAGAAATAACTTTGATTTCATTTAGTTTAGTTTGTACCTTTTAATACTGTAAAAATCACTCAATGTGATTCCTAACTCTTTTAGAAATAATATAAATTGTGTTGCTTCTGGGTGGAGTCTTTAATATCACAATAAGCCACATTTTACAATTAAGGTTTTATTGTCTTTTCTTTTTCCTTTTATCGTCAAGGTTGTGTCATGGCATCTATTTTATTTGCCTGCTAAATAAATAACAATCCAAATTCTTCTTGTCTTGTTTTATTCATATATTTGTTTGTTCTTGTGATAACGTTTTTAATTCTTGAGAAAACTTCACAAATTAAAACTCCTGACCTGCATACCTCATCCTTAGACCCGCACACTGTGTTTATTTGAAGGATTGTGTGTTAATAACCCAGTGCAGCATTCTCACATGGTTTAGGGAAATATAGATTTTTGATTCTTAAATTTTTTTTGGTCACAGTATGATGTATAGAACATTTCTATTTCCAGACTTTACATTCAACCCTTTGTTTAAAGCTGCAGTCTGTAACATTGAGGAGAGAGCAGAC